AGCATATTAGGCTTTCTTATATAGGATGTGTCTTGGTGTGGGTCTTTTGGGGTTCCTCTTGTTTGGGACTCTCTGTGCTTCCTGGACTTGTAAGTCTATTTCTTACAAGTTCTCTGTTATTTCTTCAAATAGGCTCTCAATGTCTTGCTCTCTCTTTTCTTCTTCTGGCACCCCCATAATGTAAATGTTGGTTTGCTTGAATTGTCCCAGGGGCTCCTTACACTTTCTTCATATTTGGATTTTTTTTCTTTTTGCTCTTCTGATTGGGTGTTTGTTGTTGTGTTTTTGTTTTTGTTTTGTCAGATTGGCAAAACATATATATTTTTGGGTGTGCTGCATAAATTTAGTAATTAGTTTATGTGTGCCATGAGATGATAAAGATTGAAAATCACTGATCTAGAGGGAAAAAGTGATGAGTGTCCTAAGAGTTACAGGACAGTGTCCTAAGAGTTACAGAAGAAAGAGATTTTGCATCTAGCTTTGGAACAAGAAGAAATATTTCATGGAAGTTGGTACATGGTGGGGTGGGGGGGGGGTCTTGAAGGATGAGTAAGACTTAATATTTTAGATGGGCAAGTAAAGCCAAGCGGTAAGGTGATGGATCGTACACAGCTAATAGCCAGCTGAGATATAAATCCCCAATTCTACTTCATAGTATAGCATAATAAAACAAGAGGAACAGAAAACCTACTTTAGTTCTATTCAAAAACAATATTCAGGGCAAGTTAGAGAAAGTGACTTTTCATATCCAATTAATGTAATGAATCACATCATTGGTTAGAAGAGAGAAAAGCCAAGCTGAGGACCATTTTACTTCCTTTTGTACTTGTTCTCAAAGACATAGTAACTGCCTCTAAGGCAAAGCCCTGGAAGTACCGGGCCCTGCCCTCCATTCTCCCTCGCCTTGCCAGTGATTCTTGCAGCAAGACAGGCGTCAAGCAGAAATCCAACTACAGATCATCAAGGTCACTACATACTTGCATTTTCCATTTCAATCAGGAGCCCCTAAAAGAAAATGCTCATTCTAATTTCTAACAGAAATAATATATGTGGTTCAGTACTCTTTCCAATTGGTTTCACTGTGATTTTTTTGTTTAATGACAAAAGCTTTTAAAACAAGTTTGGATGCTAAGAAAGGGGATTTTTAGTGACTTATCTTTAAAATGCAACTCATCTTTTTTTTTAATCCTCACCCAAGAGTATGTTGTTGTTTTAAAATTAATTTTAGAGAGAGAGAAAGGGAGAGAGAGAACAAGAGCAAAATATTGATGTGAGAGAGAAACATTGATCAGTTGCCTCCCAACATGCCCAACCAGGATAGAACATGTCACCTCAGTATGTGCCCTGATCAGGAATCAAACCCACAACCTTTTGGTGTACGGAACAACATTCCAACGGAGCCATCTGGCCAGGGTGCATCTCATATTTTAAAAATAAAATAAAATAATAAGATAAAATAAAATAAACAAAGAAGAGTACTAGAAAGAAATGCAAGATGTTAGGAAGAATCAAAAGATAGAAGTTAGAAGGCAGAATAAATAAAGTACAAAATTAAAATCCTTGCAGCAATTTCAGGCAGCATATGGGAATTACTGGAGTTCTGTTTCCTTTTAGCATGGTTCTCTTTCTCTCTGGTATGTTTTTAAAGGAAAGAAAAAAGCGATTTTCATGGGAGAGTAACACAGAAACGAAAGAGGAAAACAGCTGGCTGTGGGCCATGCTTTACCATTCACCCCAAAATGAAACTCCGTTCCTGCTCTCCAAAAGCCATTGTTTTTCGCCAAGTAGACATAGGCTCTACTTACACAAAGTCAGTTATAATGAAGCGACTGAGACATAAGGAAGAGATACAAATGTATAATTCAGAAGATAGTGCAGAGATGTAAAAGTCAAATTCTATTCTAAAATATTATTAAAACAAAAACTCTGCATAACCAAACTAGCTCCCACATCCTAGCAACAACTCAATTACTTCAAATAAAACAAAACATAGTAAAATCTAATTATGAAAAAGAATCTAATTATGAAAACCCCTTGTCTTTGTGATGGTGGGTTTTACCTGGTAATGAATCCAAATGTGTGCAAATGATAAATGGAAACCAACTTCTCCTTTTATAAACCAAGAATCCTAAAATAGGATCATTCACTTCATTTGTTGTGGAATAAAGACAACCCTCTTTAATTCTTATACAAAATATTAATGGAAAAAAATAACATCTTTCATCTACCTGGGAAAATTCCTTATGAAAACAATAGTGTAAGGGTTTTAGAAGGGGAAAATGCCACATATCTTAAAACAGAAGTCAAATTTAGTTTTATTTAAATAGTTGGTTGTGTCTTTGCTCCAACTTCTGACCTGGCTTTTTAAAAGTTACATGCAAACTATTACTGTTCTTGTATACCCAAGTCAAAAAGGAGACCTGAACACTATCTGGGTGCCCAAATAGGGTGAGAGGGCTTTGCCAATAGATCAGAGATAATCTTGTAATGAGTCCTTCTGATGTGTTAGAAAACAATTTCTAAAGGGAATGAAAAGGATTTTTTGTTTGCTTCTTTTGTTTGTTTTTAGATTATGACTAAGACTATAAAATGTATTCCTGGAATCTCTAACCTTTGGACTGGGAAACTTTGTGGAACCCACAGGATATCGATTCTTTCAAGAGTCCTACAAAGCCACAGAGAGGGTATAGTTAGCAGTCAAATTGAACATGGTTGGGATCTTTTAATAGTTTCCAATTGACTGATTGAGGACGAGGTAGTGAAACAAGGACTTATTGTCATGCGATTATCTGTAAAAGTTTTACATTTATGGTATCCTTTTTCTTAGGGAAGGTAAGGAGGAAAATTAGAGAGAAGGGTAAGATTCTTGGTTGAAAAGATAACCTTTTAAAGTAAAGGGGAGATGAAGGAAAATAATTACACCATATATCAATAGCATTCTTCATCATATCCACATTTTAACACTAAGGAAATGGTTTATAAATAATGTCTGCCTTTTTCCCTTGCAAGCACAAAGTTAATTCTTAACTTTGAACTTTCTCCCTTGGAAATATTTCTTCTTTGTCTCAAGTACCTATTTTTTTCTTTTTAAAAATTAATTTTATTGGGATGACATTGGTTAACAAGATTATATAGGTTTCAAGTGTACAATTCTATACTACATCATCTGTATATTTCATTGTGTGTCCACCACTCAAAGTCAAATCTTCTTTCATCACCATATTCAAATGTCTTCAAGATCATTTTAGATGTTGACTTTCTTTTTTTAAGTAGACTTTATTTTTCAGAGTAGTGTTAGGTTCACAGAAAAACTGAGCAGAAAGCAGAGTTCCCATATATCTGTCTCACACACAGCTTCCCGCAGTACCAATATCCCACGCCACAGTGGTGTATTTGTTACAACCACTGTGTTGGACACATCATTATCCCCCAAAGTCCACAGTTTTTATTAGTGTTCATTCTTGGTGCTTTTTATACTATGGGTTTTGACAAATATATAATGACATGTATCCACCATTACAGTATCATAAAAAATAATTTCACTGACCTAATAAAAAAAATCTTTCACCTCTTCAGCCCTCCCTCATTCCCTCCCTCAACAAAGAATGTTGACTTTTAAAAGTAGTTTTGAATCAATATTTATAAGCATTAAAGACCCCTCCAAACTTTAGACAACTACTCAATTAAGTAACTGTTACCCATTTAAAAAACAATGTTCCTCAACAGAAGGCTAACTAAGCAGCAACCAAAATGCTCCCTTAGTGGCAAGCAATATTAACAGAAAACATTAGTGTCATTTAAAAGCAAATAGAAGAACTACGAAACCAAGTGGGAAAAGACTGGAATGCAATCACACTACTCGTAAAATTTACATTTTCTGTTCCTGTCCTTAGATTGCCTTTGAATGCAGGTTCCAATAAGGGACGACCTGTTTTCCCACTGCAAGTTTTTTTCAACAGCTTCCTAACCTGAATATTTGAACTTTCATACATGTTCAAAAAAAAATCCAATTTGCGGCATGAACAGAATTCATGCTCAAGTCAGGACTCTGTCTTTAGAAGACAAGATAATAGCCACAGTGGACAACCATCGTGGGCAAGAGAAGAACTTAAGTTCCATTCTCTCTGCAGAACTTCCTTCCCTGTTTGATAAGGGGCAGCTGGCTGAACTTCAGGGCGAAGTCAATATGAGCAATTCCGTGGAACCAGAGCTCACACCCAGCGCATCACACCGGAATGTGACATCAGCATCCCTTATGCGTCACGGCGGGACCCCCTCCCTTCCTCCCCGGAGACACGAGGCTCCGGACAGGAGCGGGCAGCTCAGGTGGTGCCCGGGGTCTCGGCGGGAACCATCCCTGGGCGCTGAAAGCCCTGGTGACAACCGCCTTTGGGGCCCGCTGCCGGGAGGGAGAACGCTTTCATTGCAGAGATATCTTCCCGGGAGCGAGGCAGTGCGTCGGAAGTAAAGAAATGAATGAACACACACACACACACACACACACACACACACACACACACACACACACACACACACCCCGATGATCACTCTTCACGGTATCAGGCCCTCGGGGTGAAGCCAGCGCCTTCAATCAGCGCTCACAGCGGAGAGCCCACAGCCGCCTCGCTGGGAGGGGGGGGCGGGGGGTCGGGCGGCCAAAGTCACCCCAACACCTAAGCCACAGAGGCGACACGAAGTTGAACTTCCTGCGGCCGGAAGAAGCGGTGTCAGGGTCCCGCCCGACGCGCCCCTCCGCTCTCCCCTCCCGTTTCTCTGGGGGGCGGCGAGGCGCAGCTGAACCGTCTTTAGGAAAGTTTCACATACTTCCACCCACGACGCGGTTGGTCCAGAGAGGCCCCGGGATTTCAGGGGTTCGGGGGGGGGGGGAGTCGGGCACCCCCTCTACCCCGGGGGCAGGTACCGGTGCCGCAGCCTCGGGCGGCAGGCCCTCGCGCCCCACCCACCGCCCGCGGTCAGGTGGAGCGGCCGCCCGCCCCTACCTTCTTCACTCTGGTCTCCAGGTCCATGTTGGCGAATCGCGGGGTTCCGTCTCCCGCCCAGGATCTCCCGCTCGGGTGCGATGGCCGCCGGCTGCGCCGCGGCGATGGGGGTGAGGGAGGTCGGGGTGATTGCGGGGAGCCCGGGGCCTCGGCAGCCGCCACTCGCCCGGCACCGGCAAACTTCCGCAGCCCCGCCAGGCGCAGCCCTCCTGCGGCGGACCGGGAACAAAGAGGCCCGGGCAGCCAATGGCAGCGGGGCGGCGCCGGGCCGCCGCCAATCAGCGAGCGCCGCAGGCACCTTAAGCGGCCGGAATGCGGCGCCGTCAAGGTGAGGGGCGGGGCCACGTCCCGAGCGGCGTCCTAGGCAGGCGCTCGCCTCGCTGGGACCTGGTGGCTTCGCGGATGCCTGGCTCCTCTGCAGACCCCGGTCCTCACCAGACCCCGGTCCTCACCAGACCCCAGTCCCCTGCAGACCCCGGCCCCCTGCAGACCCCGGTCCCCTGCTGACCCCGGTCCCCTGCAGACCCCGGTCTTCACCAGACCCCGGCCCCCTGCGGACCCCGATCCCCTGCAGACCCCTGTCCCCTGCAGACCCCTGTCCCCTGCAGACCCCGGTCCTCTGCAGACCCCTGTCCCCTGCAGACCCCGGTCCCCTGCAGACCCCCGTCCCCTGCAGACCCGCTTGTGAAGGATGGGGCTCGGTGTGCCTCCAGGTTCAGACGAGGAAGAGCCCTCTCCATTCTGGCAGCTTGTACTTGCGTCTGCTTTCCACCTGTATGCTGAGGCGTGCTTATCCCCCTACTAGCTTCTTGGTTTATTTTCAGGGCAAGGAGAAAGCAAAGGCATTGTAGAGGATGGGCATTGCACCCCAATTTCACTACTGAATGGTGAAGGTAGCCCTTTTGCAAATGTTTTCTCCACAGTCCCAAGCACCGACAAAACCTATTGTAGAATTGAACACCTGAAACCTACATAATTTTATTAACCAATGTCACCCCAATAAATTCAACAAGTAAACATAAGGACTTGGGATTTGATTCTAGGGGGGAGTCAGAGAGACTTAGGGTTCTAAGTGGAAACCCTGGGAGCATGATTTTTAAAAAATGGGGGGAACCTCATCTCATATTCTCAGCATCAATGAAGATTGTCATGTATGTTTTCTGAGCATTTGATTGTTCCAACGTGAGAATGGTGTGAGAATGGTAAGACAGGTCGTGTGGTTCCTTGGGAAGTGGAGGCTTCTTGACCCTGCTGTGGGGAGCGGTGTGAGGCTGCTCAGGTGTCTCCTGTTTGGGGAAGCAGTTTCACAGCCCTGACAAGCCCCGCTGGAGCACCAGCACGGATCCGTTTCATGGCCTCATTCAGGGACAATTGAAATAAATACCCGCAGGTTGGAGGATCTGGAAGGGATCCTAGAGGTTACTGAGTATGGCTTTCTAATTTTACAGGAAGCTGCGGATACCAGAGATGCAAAGACCTGCCCAATTGCTGAGTCTCCTGGGGCAGAGTTAGTGCTTATAAGTGATTAAGCAATGTGTCCAGCATGTTTGAGAATGTAAACACAGCATTTTCACTAAGTAAAAGAGAAAAGTCCAGGTTTTGTTTGATGTTATGACAAATATATAACGGGTGAACAGCAGGTGATTTCCTAATCTGGAACTTATTTTTTTATATAATGAAAAAGTCTCTAATGGGGGAAAGGGAGGATCTATGTAATACTTTCAACAAATAAAGGTTTTAAAAAATAAAATAAAGAAGGCTCACCCAGCTGAGTGGCTCAGTTGGTTGAGCTTCCTTCCCTGCACCTAAAGGGTTACGGATTCAATTCCCTATCAAGGCACATACCTCAGTTGTGAGCTCGATGCTTGGTCAGAGTGGGCACATATGGGAGGCAACTGATGCTTTCCTCTTTCTCTCTGTCCCTTCCTCTCTCTCTAAAACCTATAAAAATACCCTTGGGTGAAGATTTAAATAAATAAAAGAAATGAAATGAAATGAAAAAAAATTCCAGAAAAGTAGATTTTTGGGTCCAGATGTCTTTCCCATTTGCCTCTGAAAATTTGGTAACTGAAAACATTCAAAATTTATTTTAAGCCAACACTTTCAACCCCTTGCCTCCCTAGCTATTTGTTAACATTATTCAACAGAACATTGATTTATAATGTGCATGTTTTCCTTATCCTATTAATAAACTAAAAGTGGAATGACCAAAATGGATTATTACTCAGTTGAAGTAAATCTTTCCCATCCTGTTTTCTGAAAGCAGCCTAAAACTTTGGTCCCCTACAATGTTTACCCAGTGTAAAATCCATTGACATGAGTTTATGACAAGGCAATTCAGTTTCTTTCGGGGAGATTAACAGATGGAAAATATCCAGTAAAACAGTTTAAATAAGGCATCAAACAAATGTTGTAACAGAAATTTTTAGTTTAGTTGGTGGGATTTCAGAGATGACACTAAGGAATCTGTAACCATTAAAAATTGATTTTAACTATTACATTCTGTCCTTCCTCTCCTCCCTGCCCATCCTCCAGCATCACTTTGTATGTATATCGTTGGCAAGGATGGAAGTTGAAATTCAGTGATTTCTGTCTGGGTTCATTACTGTACAGATTATACAGAAAATAAAATTGAGGTGAATAAGTGCTAAGTTGGGAGGCTTAGATTGTGAGTCCCTATTCAGCTATTAAAGTGTAAAGCTAGATATTAATGTGTTAGAACTGCCCTACTTGGTGACTAGATGTGTTGATGATAGAGGAATGAATAGCAGATGGTACACATGTTTCTGGCTTGATCACCTTTGTAGAAGATTCGGGAAATAAGAAAATATAGAATGAGGGGCAGGATTTTGTTTAGTTTTGCTTTATTTGGGGGATGGTGGAGATAAAGAGTCCTGTTTTAAATATATTGGATTTTAGATTGGGATATTGAAGTGAAGTAGCTAAATATTAAGATGAGACCTGGACTGGAACAGTGATTTAGGAGTAAACATCCTACATAATTAAATAATTGAAAACTATGGGTGGAATAAGATTACCATGGGAGATTGCAAAAGAAGAGAATATCAGTGACTACAATTGAGCAAAACTGAGCAAGAGAAGCACAGAAAGGAGATGTGCTAGTCAGAGGGTGAGAAAAAAATTATTGTAGTGGAGTCCCAGTGACCAAGAGAGGAAATTCAAGAGTTAATTAGTCAACAATGTCAAATTGTAGAGGAGGATCAAATGCCTGTTGGATTTAACAAAAAAGAAAATCGTTTGTAAACTTGGGAAATGCCAGCTATTAGACATGAGCAGAGCAAGGACAATGGGCCAAGTACAGAAACTCACCAGGGCAGAAAGTTCCAGATGCCTATCAAGGGGGCAAACCTGAGAAAACAAGAACTTCACCCTCAGGGTAACCTATCCTCTCCTAGCATATCCTGCTCATGTGGTTTGGACCCCTGATCTTTCATATCACTGGTCAGGCGGTTTAGACCCCGTGACCTTTTCCTCCCTGAAGATAACATCTAGGCCTCAATTGTATTCCAGGCCCAGAAAAGCAGCAAAACCAGACAAGTGATGCTGTAGCTGCCTCAGGACACCCTGCCCTGGCACTGACCAATCAGTGGAGACCACAAACCTGAAAGAGCATATCTGAAAAGCTGATCGATATTCTATGGAGGCAATCCCCTGAAACCTCCCCTAAGGTTTCCACCTGCAAGAAAGACATAAATACACTGAGGACAAAGGACCCAGTGCACCCTCCCCCACCAAAGAGCATGCCAGTGCCATTCCCCCACAGGCACGAACCCCCCAACCTCTAAGGGACCCCATGAGACTTACAACCAGGGGAACAATGGACAACAGCTAACCCCCTGAACCTGTCTTTCTCCAAGGCTCCCTTTCCTCTGACTTCTCAATGAGCCAGAGCAGCCCAACCTAGACTTTTCTGTTGCTTCTTCTATGCCCTTCCTTGTTTCACTGTCCAAAGTATATTTTTGCTGCCATCAGGGACCCAATACCCTTTGACTCAATGCTGTGTAGCCCTTCCCTTTGGATATTTCCATTCTTCATCTTCTTTTCCTTGAATAAATTCGATTTTCTTTAACCATCATCTGAGATGGATATTTAGCCTGCCCATGTACCACCAACTTTAACCTTTCACTCGCTATAACCCACCTGAAATAGGATAATGGCCAAAATCAGGTAATAGCAATGGGTATGGAGAGTTGGAAGAAGTAATAGTGGTATTAAAAAGAGAGAAAATATTGGAATTGCTTGATTGGTTTAAAGGGAGGAAAGACAATTAGTCTAGAATGACTTTTTGGCATCTATACTGGGTGACTGATATGGTGGATGTACCTCACTCCTTAATGTAAGAAACACAAAAGAAGGAAGATTGAGAAAGATAAATGGGTTTAGTGTTGTATGCATTGATTTTGCAAGGACAACTGGATCTGAGTGTGGTGGTCAAAAGAAAGACCTGGGCGAGAGATACAGATGATTGATTATAAATACACAGGCACATACATATACTAGTACACAAATACATATGTGCATATAAACACAGACACAGTAAACATGCTAAAAGCACTAGGAAATGGAAACACCAATAGGAAAGTCTGTGAAAAATTCGAAAAGAAATGAAGAGAGAAATATAAAGTATTATAGATAAAGAAACAAACATTGGAAATAGGATAAGACTCATGCATGAAGTTAGCGGAGTCGGGAGTCTAGACCAGATTCCTAACTGGGATCTGACAAGATGGCGGGGCTGCCATGCGGGATTGCCGAGGAGACCCAGCGTTCGCAGGCAGAACTTACTGGCGGCGTGAAAGGAGAACCGGAGGAGAGCAACACCTGATATTTGCATGTGGTCCCAGGATTCCCCTTGGAGGGAGGGACTTTTAAACTTGAACTATTCCTTCCAGAAGAACACCCAATGGCAGCACCTAAAGTAAATTTCATGACCAAAATTTCTCATCCTTATGTAGACAAGTTGTGAAGAATATGTTTAGGTATTTTGAAAGCTAAGTGGTCCCCAGCACTGGAGATTCAGACAGTTCTGCTCTTGTTCCAGGCTGTGCTCAGTGGTCCCAATCCAGACAATCAATTAGCAAATGATGTAGGGGAGAGTGGGAGACCAACGAAGCCCAAGCCATAGAAACAAGTGGACATGGACGAGGCTACATGCCATGGAGACTATTTAAATTGATCTGATCATCAAGTGTGCA